TCTTTCTATTCATTTTCCCACTAGCAATTTATAGCATCTCATAATTTATAGCATCTCATGGAGTCACCCAACCATCATTGTGCCAAAAAGAAAAGAAAAGAAAATGAAGACAGGGCTTATATCATTTCAGTGTATGTGAAAACACTATAAATCACAGAGGAGGAATGGCTTATATCTCCAACCTTAGAGAACAACTGCCAATAGAGTAGTAGATTTTTTTAAACTACTATAATAAACAATATGTTTACTGGTGTAACTAATCAAACAAAACATTGATAGCAGTACTTTGACCCCATTTACTTTGTGAGCAGATAACTCACAAGGAAACCCGCAAGATCTTCTGCAGAAATGCTGCCCCTTTTCCAATTTTCATGAGGCTCCAGGGTTGCTTCTTTCTTCTTTCCAGAGCATGTAACAGAGAGAGGCACATGTGCAGCTATTAATCTTCAAAGCAAATAATCCTAAATCACCTTGAGCAGGATGCCTCTCCTGTCATTCTAAAACAAGCATGTGGGAAGAAAACAGCCCGAGAGGCTTCCAAAAAGCACATTTTCAGCTGTCATTGCTTATATGGGAACAAATGTTTTTGTCTGCTGCAGCGAAAAGGAACTGAAGTAGTCTATTTGTTATATTCATTTGTTCAAGTCTACACTTTCAACCTGCATCAGCGTACCTGGACCAAGCTATGCCATATTTAACCACTGCATCAGCTTTTAGAATAAAAAATAGATGCATGCTGTGGCTTGGGATGTACATGAGGAGATAAATGACAGGTGCAGAGAGAAGTTCACGGGGAAGGCATTTCACAGGCTGATAAGTTAGTTTCCCACAGATTTTAGTAGACAGTCTGTTTTGCGCTTTTTGATTAAAGAGTGTTCAGTGTGTTGGCTATAAAAGCTTTACAAGCTCACCCCCTGCACAGACATGCCATACCATGCCAGAACATTGCATACATACCTGGTGTGTGTCCCAGGGAGCACTGCATGTTTACACCTGCAAGTATTTAATAAAAATCGTGATGGTTACATTAACTTTCAGTTCTTTTTCTGGGATGAGATCAACAGGAGAGGAGAGAAAGCTGAACCATGGCTGAGACCAGCATAGTAGAAGGAGCAGAACATGATGTCCATTATGCTCCAAGTCTCATGGATATTGGTCCCTGGAAAGCATTTACATTTGGATTTGCTTGTGGGGAAACAATCAGCAAACACCAAATAGAAGGCTTCTTGCTGGAATATCAGATGTGCAGATGTGCCACCCCACTTTTCTGCAATTTCTGTAAATTTAGATCAGGCTCTTTTCAGACACAAAAACCTCCGAAATAAGGTAGAAGACTAAAGGTTGTTGTTTTAAAACCACTGAAATGGGAGTAGATCCTGGATCCTGATGCAGGTTGACTGGATATGTATTCCTTCTTTCCAACTCTTGCTTTATCATAGCCTGTGGTGATCTGAGTCAAACCTTTCACAAAGTAACCAACCGGCAAGCCATGCATAGAACATCCGTTTATACAATTCCCAATTGCAGTCAGTCAGTGGGTGCATTCTCACCTCATGCCACCCCTGGTTTGGTTTTCTGCAACTTAGCCTATTGGGTAAACCTAGCTTCTTTATGATTAATCTAGTGTACTACCTCAAAAGCATGTTAATATTCGATAATTAGGTAGTGTGTCATGTGAAAGTAACCTTTTCAATTGCGACAGGACTGGCCAAGTTTTTTTTTCTGAATAGCAGTTCTAGATATCATTCTAGAAAGCAGTTCTAGAAATAGTGAGTGCTCCATCACTGGAAGATTTAAGAAGAGACTAGACAGTCACTTATTTGAAATGGTATAGGGTCTCCTGCTTGAGCAAGGGGCTGGACTAGAAGACCTCCAAGGTCCCTTGCTGTTCTGTTCTGTTCTGTTCTGTTCTGCCCTATTCTATTCTATTCCCTATTCTCTTTTCTCTTCTCTTCTCTATTCTATTCTATTCTGTTCTCTATTATTTTCTATTTTCTATTCTATTCTATTCTATTCTATTCTAGTCTTTATTCTCTTCTCTATTCTCTTCTCTATTCTCTTCTTTTCTATTCTTTATTCTCTTCTCTTCTCTAATATTTTCTATTTTCTATTCTATTCTATTCTCTATTCTATTCTCTATTCTAGTCTCTATTCTAGTCTCTATTATTTTCTATTTTCTATTCTATTCTACTCTATTATATATTCTATTCTCCTATTCTATTCTATTCTCTATTCTATTCTATTCTCTATTCTATTCTATTCTCTATTTTCTATTTTCTATTCTACTCTTTTATACAGGTGAAACTCAAAAAATTAGAATATCGTGCAAAAGTTCATTTATTTCAGTAATGCAACTTAAAAGATGAACCTAATATATGAGATAGACCCATTACATGCAAAGCAAGATAGTTCAAGCCGTGATGTGTCATAATTGAGATGATTATGGCTTACAGCTCATGAAAACCCCAAATCCACAATCTCAGAAAATTAGAATATTGTGAAAAGGTTCAATATTCTCGGCTCAAAGTGTCCCACTCTCATCAACTAATTAAGCCATAACACCTACAAAGGGTTCCTGAGTCTTTAAATGGTCTCTCAGTCTGGTTCAGTAGGACTCACAATCATGGGAAAGACTGCTGACCTGACAGTTATGCAGAAAACCATCATTGACACCCTCCAAAAGGAGGGAAAGCCTCAAAAGATAATTGCAAAAGAAGTTGGATGTTCCCAAAGTGCTGTATCAAAGCACATTGATAGAAAGTTATGTAGAAGGGAAAGTGTGGAAGAAAAAGGTGCACAAGCAGCGGGGATGACCGCAGCCTGGAGAGGATTGTCAGGAAAAGGCCATTCAAAAGTGTTGGGGACCTTCACAAGGAGTGGACTGAAGCTGGAGTCAGTGCATCAAGAGCCACCACACACAGATGGATCCTGGACATGGGCTTCAAATGTCATATTTCCTCTTGTCAAGCCGCTCCTGAACAATAAACAATATCAGAAGCGTCTTACCTGGGCTAAAGAAACACAGAACTGGTCTGTTGCTCAGTGGTCCAAAGTCCTCTTTTCTGTTGAGAACAACTATTGCATCTCATTTGGAAACCAAGGACCCAGAGTCTGGAGGAAGAATGGAGAGGCACACACTGCAAGAGGCTTGAAGTCCAGTGTGAAGTTTCTACAGTCTGTGTTGATTTGGGGAGCCATGTCATCTGCTGGTGTTGGTCCACTGTGCTTCATTAAGTCCAGGGTCAACACAGCCGTCTATCAGCAGATTTTGGAGCACTTCATGCTTCCTTCCACAGATGAGCTTTATGGGGATGCTGACTTCATTTTCCAGCAGGACTTGGCACTTGCCCACACTGCCAAAAGCACCAAAACCTGGTTCCATGACCGTGGGATTACTGTGCTTGATTGGCCAGCAAACTCGCCTGACCTGAACCCCATAGAGAACCTATGGGGCATTGCCAAGAGAAAGATAAGAGACATGGGACTGAGCAATGCAGAAGAGCTGAAGGCTGCTATTGAAGCACTCTGGACTTCCATAACACCTCAGCAGTGCTACAGGCTGATAGCTTCCATGCCATGCCGCATTGAGGCAGTAATTGCTGCAAAAGGGGCCCAAACCAAGTACTGAGTACATATACATGCTTATGCTTTTCAGAGGTCTGATATTGTTCCATGTACAATCCTTGTTTTATTGATTGCATGTAATATTCTAACTTTCTGAGATTGTGGATTTAGGGTTTTCATGAGCTGTAAGCCATAATCATCACAACTATGACAAATCATGGCTTGAACTATCTCGTTTTGCATGTAATGAGTCTATCTCATATATTAGTTTCACCTTTTAAGTTGCATTACTGAAATAATGAACTTTTGCACGATATTCTAATTTTTCAAGTTTTACCTGTATATTCTATTCTATTCTATTCTATTCTATTCTATTCTATTCTCTCCTCTCCTCTCCTCTCCTCTCCTCTCCTCTATTCTATTCTATTCTACTTTATTATATATTCTATTCTTTATTCTATTCTCTTTTGTCTTCTCTTCTCTGTGTTGTAGGCAGGTACGATTCAGGCTGGCCTTACTTGCTCTGCCGGGAGTTCAGCGACCCAGCTCAGCGGCAATGGGGCGTTGAGTTCCAAAGATGAAAAGGGTGGGTAAGTGGCACTGGACGGGGCTCCCATTAGAGTGGCAGCCGTACTTCCTGGGGGTGGGGGGAGTCCTATGAAAAAATGGGAAAGAGCTGCCTTCGAACCAAGGGTAGGATTGATTTGCATACCGTGGAGGGAGCCAATCGGAACCGACCGTCATGCGCTTCTGCCAATGGCCGTGCGACTGCCTGGGGCGAGCCGATCCGGGCGTGAGATCAGCAGAAGAGAAAAGAGCGCTGAGCCCCCGGCTGGGACCGTCGTAGAGTAGAGTGACAGCAGCCGAGGAAGACGCCCACTTGGACCGATGGAGGAGAAGCGTATTTTGTGCATCGGACTTGTGTGCCTGGACATAATCAGCGTGGTGGACAGTTACCCGGAGGAGGATTCGGACACCAGGTACCGCTGCAAAGGCCTAGCAATGGGGCACGGCTGGGTGCAAACTGCGGAGAAGGAGGGGAGGGGGGGTTGCTAACCCGTTTTGCTCCGCGTCGCGGGAGGAGAGCTTTCCGCTCTGTCCGGTTCCGTGTTCCAAAGCCCCGATAAGCAGGAACCAGTTCACACTTTGGGGGGGAAATTTCGAGGCTCATTTCCTCCGGCCCGGGCTCAGAGTACTCGGAGCTGGCGGAACAGGTTCCGGGGGTGGGGAGGGAAGGACGGAGGGAGGGAGGGAGGGTGGAAGTGTTGCCTTTGCGTCCCGAAGCAGCCCTTCGGTCCGTTTCAAGATCTGAGCGAAGAGATTGCAACAAATGCAAAAGCCCTGAAGTGTTGCCGGAGTCCCGGATACTTACTTGGCTGCCCAGAGGGCCTGTCGGAATGGGACGCTGAAGCTGCTGTTGGCTGTTGCTTCTTTCCAGATGTTTGTCGCAGCGCTGGCAACGTGGAGGGAACGCCTCCAACACCTGTACCGTTCTGGCCCTGCTGGGGGCCCCTTGTGCTTTCATGGGTTCCTTAGCTCCTGGTCATGCTGCAAAGTAAGTGCCAGCGGAATACAGACGGGGTTGTGACTAACACACACACACACACACACACACACACACACACACACACACACACAGAGAGAGAGAGAGAGAGAGAGAGAGAGAGAGAAGGGGAAGGGCAAAAGTGTGTGTCTCCACTTCATGAAAAACTTACTTATTTTATGCACTTAGATACTATTCTCCTCCCCCACACCCCCTCCCCCCCATTCAGTCTGGTCCACCGACTGCCTAGGCGTTTCAGAAGTGGTTTGCCATTACCTTCTTCCTAGGGTTGAGACAAAGTGACTGGCCCAACAGTCTACAAATTGATTGCTCCTTCTCGGTGTCCAACCTAAAGTGTTTTGCAGATATATATTTTCTTTGTCCATTGATCCACTCCTTGCCTGGAATTGAGAAGGTTCTCCTGGATTAGCATCATAGGTAGACTGTTTTCACAACAAGCTAAGCTTTGTGGGCTATTTTGTGGCTTAATGTTTTTTTAAAAAATAAACCTAGTCATTGATAGTTTAAACTAGTATTGTGCAAATCAAGAGAATTGGAGTGATTCAGTAAACAAACAGCACATGTTGTGCAAATCTAAACTGGGCTGTTATTTGGTTGTGACAGAAAGGAGACTCTGATTATAGTGAAGTGATCATAACGTTCACACAATGTCAGAGTTATTTAACATGTTAAACCAAGATACATAAAGACCTGGGACTGAATTCACAGTAAGGTTAATTACTTTAAAAACTTGTTTTGTATGGCTCAGCAAGTTGTGTGAATGTAGTCCATTTTAGCTTCTAGTTCATTGTATTGCTGGTACAACCCTGAATATGGGTGAATTTCAATTATTTCAAATAAGGTTCAAGTCAGGCTGCAGGGGATTCATTTCAGTGTGATGGTAGACTGGTTTTCTTCTAGCTCTAACAAATATCTCCCTGATTTTTGTATTTATTTGTCTTTGTTCTCTCATTTAACTTTGTTTCTCTTCCAATCTGGGATGTTCCAAGCCATGTTCTTGGAATAAAAGTCTTTTATGTGCTGGTAGTACAGTCTGATCAACAAATCAGACTTGGCATGAGATTCAAATGCAGATGCCAGGCATGTTTTTGCCTCTGCTTCTAAAATAACTTATTTTCATTAATATTGTTCTATTTTTGCAAAAGAATCCCTTCCCTTAAAATAATTAATTTCAACAAGGAATCTTGTAACACTTAAAAGACTAATCATGTTATGCTATGTACAATGATTAAGTCTTATGAAATTCTTAAAGTTAATAATAGAATAACCCTGCATGCCTAAGACTATAGCAAAGGAATGCAGTGAACTATATTCTACTTCATGAATGAATTATTATTTTCAATTAACCAATCTTTGTAAGATGTAGATAGAAAAAATAGAAACAGGGTAAATGGTTAAGGAAAGGCAAAATGTATGGTCGGATAACTTAATTAAAGCATAAATTACTTGTGATACAAACACAATGACCATTCAGATTGTCAGTAATTGGCAATTGCACAGAATTATTCTAGCATTGCTAAGTTAATTAACACTTGCAGTGGGACAGAAACTCTGGAATAACAATAGTTAATTAGTGAGGCTAATTATTATCTTATCACTGGCACCCATTACTAAGAAATGGTGATTATATAGGTGTATAAGTGTGTATGTATTTATATAAGTAATTAGTCACAGACCATTAATTTTATTATCACCTGACCTTATAGTTTATATTACACTAAACTTTCCATCTAGGTGTTTGAGAGATGTGGAACTTGTAGTCGCAAATTTTCATATAGTCCCTGCATTTCATTTTTGTAGTCCTTGTAGCTGACTCCAACCATGATTACTGAAGTTAATGGCACATTTTTCTACCTGTTTTTAGGTAGGAAACACATGAAAACTATAATCTCTAAATTTATGATCTTTTGCTTTCAGGAAACAGACTTTTTATGGAACTGATCTGAGGCAGATCAAAGACCATTCTATTCCCATTCTTTTGCTTACTATAGCATGAATTCTGTCTGTTGACTCCTGAGCAGCATATGCTTCAGAGAGCAGAGCACCAGAGTAAATGTAATGAGATTTTTTTAAATAAGTACTAAGCTCTGAGGGCATCAGAGCTCTCGGCTTCCAAACTGCAGAGTTCATTTTTATCTGCTTTCTTCAGACAGCTACCTCCCTCTGCCCTCACAGCTTCTAGCCCACTGACAACTTTTGCCAAGCGGCCGTAACAGCCCTGTTGTCTTGAAGAGAAGCTTGGGAGCATCTGCCTTCTATTCTACCCGTCAGAGAACCTCACCTCCACCACCACCCCAAGAAGACGTTCATGTTTTCTGCCCTCCCAGCTTCGTCCGTGATGATTTCCGACGCTATGAGGTGGATCTCACCCATGTGGCTTTGCATCTGGCATGCAGCTTGCCCATTTCAACGGTGATCAGCAACTGGGCCACAGGCACCCGCACCATCCTGCACGCTGCTAGGTGCGTAGGTTGAGCATTCCTCACAGTGAAGTCTAATGGGTTTTTCTCTCTCTCTCCTCTTCCTTGGCCCCAAGCTTCATCTTGTCTGACTTCCAACGGTGCAAAGTGGAAGTTGCCCATTTGGTCTGGCAGAGCCAGGGGGAGACACCGTGTGCCTGCTGCCTCATCAATTGTCGCAACGGTTCTCGGACAGTTACTCTTTATGACACGTAAGACCTGGCCCACTTTGGCTGTGCTGCCTCCAACCTTCCCCCCTTCTCTACCAATGGGTGGCACAAAAGGACTCTCAGCGCCCCGGTAGAGGCCAGGTGGCCTTGATTGCTGTGTGTGGTGGGCGAGGATTGGCCTGCTAGAGCAACTGTTTGTTTCAGGAAGAGATTACAAAGAATATAAGTAGGATTGTGTTTATACTATTACTGTAAATCAGGGATATCAAACTCAAGGCCCACGGACAGGATCTGGCCTACATGGAGCTTAGGTTTGGCCTGTGGGGCCGCCCTGGAAACAGTGAAGGACCGGCCTACAGTGCCACTGCCAGCAAAAACGGAGCCTGGGAGGGCCGCAAGCTCCATTTTCGCTGGCAAAGGGGTGCAAGAGGATCACCCCAGCCCTGCCTGGGCCACCACTGGTGCCCCCGAGACAAGTGACATCGAGCTGGCCATGCCCACCCTGCCACACCCACCCAGCCCTGAGGTTAAACACAACCCTCATGCGGCCCTCAATAAAATCGAGTGTGACAACTTTGCGGTAAGTGGTTTAATAGGTCCTTCCTAGCTTCCTATTTTAGCTGCTTGCACACACAGTGGAGAAGCAGGCTCATAAAATTGTACTGGTTGTTTATGATTCAAGCTTGTCTCGATTTTCATTTCTTTCTTTCGTTCTAAACTGCTCATTCTCCCCCTTCATCCAAGTCATTAATAAAAATGGTAAAGGCCTCAGGAAATAGCTGCGTGACATTCTACTTGATACTACTCTCCAAACTGATGGGGAGCTGGTTATGAGTACTACTGAGGTGTAATTACTGGGTTAAGAATTGCATCATCTAGCCTATATTATACTATTTTATTAATGAGGATAGCATTAGAGTTGATGGAATCCTGTGCTGAGATCAAGATACACTGCATCCAGATCTATTAAGCAAATGTGAGAAATGGGGTAATTCTGTGAGAAAAGGAGATAAGGTTAATCTTGTTTATGACAAGCTCATGCTGACTACTATTAATTCTTGCACTCCTGCTAAGTGCTCATAGGCATGATGTTTGAAATCTGCTTGAAGATCTTGCCCAGTATAGAGAATGGGAAGTTAACATGAGAAATATGAAAAAGGATGTTTAGTAATGAACAAGGCTGTTGATGAGAAATGGAATGGAATGGAAAATAACCTTACAATAACATAGTACGAATGACTTGCGGGGCTGCGCGACATGCAATAAATTCACATGGTGCAGTAGGATTGTATGTTTGTTAGTAGGATTCACTGGGTTAGGAATTTTCTGCCTTCACTGTGAGTTGTATTGTGTTGAGGGAGTGCACGAAGGGAAGCTCAGCCAATCTCATTGTACACATGTTGTACTCTGCCAATAAAAGGTTTGAATTGAAAAATTGAATTTAATTGAATTGAAATAGATGCATATAAGACAAAGTCTGCTCATAAATGAGAATGAGAGTGAGATGCTACATAATGTGCGTGGGGAAATATAATCACAAAGGAAGGGAAGAGAACAAGGAACAATTGAAGAGAACAAGGAACAGTTACAATGAAAACAGACACATTATTAAGCAATTTGAATGGAAATAATTGTTTTGGAAGTACAGTAAGTGAAAAGAACTAAACCAAGACCCTCCAACAATGCGAGTGGTTATGAAATTGAAGTGATAAAATGATTTGGGATGAAAATATAATTAGGAGACACTATAAAAGTTAGTGTCCAAGAACATATTGATGGTTAAGTAGTCATTAATCTTACTAGAATGTTAGAAAATAGTAAGATCATGTCGTTGTAGATTATTGTAACTATTTTGCCAATGGAGTGACTATACTGTAGTTTATTTAACGTGTTGAAAGACTATTGCTGAGCCTTAAAGATGGGAAGTATGCTGTTACTGTTACCCTAGCTAAAAGGAAAGGTAAGAAGAATGAACAATGCAAAAAGATACAAGTGTGTTAGCATATTAAGTGCCTAGAAAGCATTTGATAAAATTCTGTTAGAAAAAGTATGAGTAATAACAGGGAGCATAATTTCACAAGCGCAATGCAACTTCATGCTGGACAGAGGATGTGCGAAACAGATTTCCCCCCCTCAAAAGATAATTGAAAGAAGTAAGTGTCAGAAAACTTAATGTACTACATGTTTCTTGTTTAATAATAGAATTTCATTATAGAATTTTGAGCAAAGATTATGTTGAAAGTTGATTACTGAGTGCAATGAAGTAGAAATAAAATATGCATGAAAATAAATGGAATGTTTAGAGAACAGTCCATTTTAAGCAGATCTAGAGAGGTATTGTGAATGATGTTGGTGAAAAACTAGATTTAGTTATAATTCCTTTTATTTTGTTCATCTCATGCCTTTAGCAGAGTTGCCTTATTATTCCTTACTTCTTTTCTAAGTTCTGTGTAATGTTGCTTCCCACAATAAAGGATAGCCTGGTGGGTATGTATGTATGTATGCAGGGGTGGGATTCAATTTTTTTAACAACCTGTTCTGTGGGCGTGGCTTAGGTGGTGGGTGTGGCTTGGTGGTCATGTGACTGGGTGGACATGGGTTAGTGGTCATGTTATTGGCTGGGTGTGGCCAACTCAATATCACTCACATTGAAGCACGCATCTCATCATCTGGCCTCTCAAGACTGGGGATACTGCAAGTGTGCTGTTAGTGTGAAAAATGGTTACAAGTCACTTTTTTCAGTGCCATTGTAACTTTGAATGGTCACTTCACCCAAGCAAAGTACCAGCAAAGGAAGAAAAAAAAACCCCAGAGACATTCCTGAGACAGGAAGTCTAGTCCTGATATTAATCTTATAATTACTTGGTTAGCAAATATTAATAACTTACTTTTTTGCCTAGCAAGGCTTTAACACCTACCCAACATTCACACATCACTTAACCAGAATCAACCTATTTTCAACCCATGGATTGACACAATCCATGTATTGTATTATAAACTAGCCAAATATAGTGGATTTGTACAATATGCTAAGCCATTAAAGAATCATACTAAAGTTAGTGCTAGCCCATTCTAAATACAGTCACTTGTTTTTACTGTGTATGTTTGTAAGGAGAAAGTCTGCTTTGCATGCAGTAAGCAGTGTGCCATTGCCTGAACTTTTCTTTGCCTGATAGCTTGATTCCATTTTAGAGATTTGAGATTCCTTATCCTGAGAGAAATGGATATCAACTAATAGATAGTCTGGCTAAACAACCAAAAAATCCAGAGTCACATTGACTGACTTACCTTTTATTATAATTTTGAAGCAATACACATTTTGAAAAGTAAAGACTTCCTAACTTGAGGCAAGAGTATGACAGTTCTTTTCCATTGCTTTCTTCTATGATATTTTTTCCCTAAGTTGCACTTATGGGTCAGCTTGATACCCAAAAGAACCTGACTTGTTCTTTTAAAATCAATCAAGATAACAGGAAGATAAGAAAAACATATTAAAACTACCAACTCCTCATCAGAGTCAACATCCAATAAATGAATCGATTCCTGTGTCTACGTTCAGAGCAGGAGGACATTCGTAATGGTTATAGCTTTGTTAAGAAATAGCACAGCCAGCTCTTAATTCCTTGGACCACATAAGAATTAATATAGCTCTTGTTCCATTTTATTGTGGAAAATAAAAGTTGCTTGAGCAGGTCAAAATAGGGCTTAAAATGCCTGTTCAATTCCTCCAGAGGTGCCACCCAATGGAAGAGGAATAAAAGCATCCATGCATGAGCTATTAAACATCTGATTTATTATTAATTCTTGGTCAATCACTAATTTAGTCCAGATTGCTGCCAATCACAATTGCCAATATTAATTCTTGATTATCCTTCCCAAATATGGTTGTGTCATCTTGTGACGTTCCCCTTCCCCAAGAAGCTTTTTGGCTCACAGAGTGAGAAATTCAAATGTGACTCCCACCAGCTCACAGCAAGAAAGAACCTGGGCTTTTGACAACAACAGGTGAGATGTAGGCTAGACAAACCAGTCATGAGGGGATACAAGGATCAACTACGGTGTTCGTATAGGCTAGATCCGCACAACTATAAAAATAAATCACTGAGGGTAACCTATACCAAGTTTGTATCTTTCCGTGTACTGGTCCTTATCTGACCAAATTAAGTGTGTTTTGTATCTACAACCAAGCTCTATGGCAGGGGTCCCCAAACTTGGCAACTTTAAGACTTGTGGACTTCAACTCCCAGAATTCTCCAGCCAGCTATGAATTGTGGGAGTTGAAGTCCACAAGTCTTAAAGTTGCCAAGTGTAGAGACTTCTGCTCTATGGGCTATATTCTCCCTCCAGGGCCCTGCTGGCTTTTCATAAAGCCCTAAAGTCCTGGTTCTGCACCTGGCCTGAGGAACCAAGTGTCTGAAGGCTCTTGTCTCCTGACTGTGTTAGCAACTGTCCATTGTGATATTTTCCTGCTCTGTATTTTACTTTTTATATTTGTGATGGGAATTGATTTATTTATAAAATTTATTCGCCGCCCATCTTACTATAGGGTAACTGGGCGTTAAATTGTTTTTTCTATTTAAGAGCCTCGGTGGCGCAGTGGTTAGAGTGCAGTACTGCAAGCTACTTCTGCTGCAGCCAGCTGCCTGAAATTTGGCAGATTGAATCCCACCAGGCTCAAGGTTGACTCAGCCTTCCATCTTTCCGAGGTTGGTAAAATGAGGACCCAGATCATTGAGGGCAATATGCTGACTCTGTAAACCGCTTAGAGGGGGCTGTATAGCACGATAAAGCAGTATATAAGTCTAAGTGCTATTGCTATTGCTAAGATTGTTTGCTACTCAAGAGTCACTTGTTGAGATGGGTGGCTAGACAAATTGAATGAAAGAACACATAAAAAATATATGCGCAAAAGCTTATGTGACGCTCCCCCCTCCCTTCCCCTAGCTTTTCTCAACTGGTGGGAAGCATGCAGCTTTCTGTCTCCCACTACTAATAGAGTATCAAGGCCTGGTTAATAATTTGGAGACATGTAGAAGGCCCAAGCTTGTCATATTTCTGAATGTGATTCTTGTGGCCTTTGATCAAAGCAGTCTCTGTGTCTTCCAGGCTAGTGGGTTAATCATTAAAACCGAATCCATTTCAGGTACAATTAATCCATAAAAATGAGGGCTGAGAATTAAATGGCATCCGTTTCCATGCTGAATATCTCCAGATGAAGTTCCTGAGTATGGCCTAGTGCTAAGACAATGTTTTCAGAGTGAGGGAACTATGAAATAAAAGGAACAAGTTGAGAATGGAGGATCAAACTCAATTCTAGTCAAGCATCCTTTAGCTTAAGGAAAGGAGGGACAGTCCAGGACAGTCCATAGATGCAGAACAAAGGTCAATCTCACGGTTACCGAATAACCCAGTACGACTAAGTGTGCAATTATTGCAGACTTAGCAAGCAGTTGAGATCAGCCTTTTTTCTCATGTTTATTTTATATTTTTAACACTGTATAGATAGATGGCCATTATTGTTTTCTATGATAATGCATTTCAGTTTATGTATATATGTCTAGTTTCTTTATTCTCACATTACCTTAAGCAATGGCTCCAAATTCAGATTGTTATCATGGAAACCAAGGAAGAGGTTAGCATATTATAATTTATTATTGTTCAATTAGATGACTAAGTAAATAAATTCCATCCCAATTGTACATTATACATCTGCCAAGAGATTTCTTCATGTCTTTTTGTCAAATTTGGGGAAAAAGGAATTAAGTTATAGAGACATTCTTATGTGGGATGGCTGCCTGTGCAGCTTAAAACCTTGGGATGTGTAGCTCAAAGCAGCTCCAAAGTACTTTGGAATTGCTCCCAGTAGGAGGTGAAATTAACTTTAAGCTTGCAAAATCAGTTCTGTGTATAACTGAACCACCATATTCAGAGTAATATGTTTATTCATTGGAAACTTGGGACAAGCAATAAGAAAACAATTCATGTCCCCTTTGGATTGGCTAGATTATTTGGTTTGGTGGTAACAAAACAGGATGCTACACAGGATACACTTTGAATTTAAGAAGTCAATAAGTATTTTGTTTCCTGTTTTATTTAATTGTAAGGAGGTATGCATTTGCTTACTGTTTCACTGATTCAAAATGGAAATCAGTTTGTTGCATTAATTAAACCTTAGTCTTCCTCTTCCCACTTTCCATTCTCCCAATTGCAGCAATCTGCCAGATGTGACAGCTGCTGATTTTGAAAAAGTTGACCTGTCTCAATACAAGTGGATCCATTGGGAGGTAAGGCTTTGTCTGGAAAGGAGGTTGGACTTAATTGTTCATGTGATAAGATGATGGTGGCCAGATTTACAACCCTTTTACAATATGTGGGCACTTTTTTACAAGTAGGCAGGTGATGTTCCATGGCAGTAAAGTGGCTGGGTATCTATTTTGGAAGTAGCAGGTATAAATGGCCCAACTACTATAAGTTGTGAGGCATCTAAAATCACAAAGGCTATCAATAATTCCAGGAATAATATCAAATTCAGACATCTCAGATTGTCATTAATCATAGTATTTTCTCCCAGGGGAGGAATGCTTCGGAACAGGTTAAAATGCTGCAACGGGTAGAAAAGTATAACCAATCCTGCCCACCATCTGAACGAGTGACCACATCTGTGGAGGTGGAAAAGACCAGGCCAGAACTGTACCAGCTGTTTTGCTATGGAGATGTGGTAAGGGGTCAAAGGTAAAGTCGTGGTGCAGGTTGATGTAGGTGGGAAACATGGCTGATCAAGAAAGCAAGCAGTGATGAAAGAGTAATCTGCCCTTCAGTTAAGTTCCTCTCATAGGATAGATTTAAGAGATTTTGCCTCCTCCTCCTCCTCCTCCTCCTGTGGCTACTGAAGATGTATTGGCATCCCCTGTTAGAATCCTTATTAAGGATTCTGATTTCACTTTCTGAATCAATAGTACTGTTTCAGTCACTCATTTCCAGAGATTTTCTGCAGATGAGTTTTGTGTGCACAGAGAGGTAAACAGTAATATTCCTGGGGGATTTCTATAGCTGGGAAGTGAAATTTTCTAAATGTCTGGCCAGAATACACCCCAATGCTCTGGAGACTCACAGTCATTTTCTTCATACATAACACTCTGAGGCACTCACTATCTGATCACCGAGATACTACGTAATAAGGCCCAGCCAAAAAGTGATGACTTTGTTGTGGTTCTCTTCTTCTAGGTCTTTGTCAGCAAAGATGTGGCCAAGACGTTTGGATTTTACTCAGCTCCTGAGGCTGTGAAGGGGCTCTATAGGCGTTTGAAGCCAGGGTAGGAGGGAGCCAAACCATGGGGACAAACCTGGATCCTTCCCTGGTTATTGGGGGTGGTATGAAATAAGAATATCAGACTGAAGAGAATCTCAGAGGCTAAAGTGGGAGCCCTTTAGAGGTCATCTCAACCAACTTCACCATAAGAAACCTCGAATCACAAGTTGTTTAACGATTTGGAGAGGATTCTCTTTACAAGCAGCTTTAGAGATATTTCAGCCACGTTCAGGCTGAAGTCACACACAGACTGTACTAAACCATGTATAACTGGGTCTTGTTGAATAAACTGCAACAGGTTGGCTTCATACCATGCTAAGCCAGAACTGGACTGGTCATGGTTGAATTGGTGCTACAAGCCGATAACGCCCAAATCAGATTAAATGCTTGTTGCGTGTGATGGCACAATCCAAGGTACTAACTTTTGCAGCAGCTTTAGTTAGCAATCCTATATCAAAAGCACAATTCTTTTACTACTTTATTGATTGGATTTATATAACACCTTCCTATCTGATGTTCCCTTAAGGTCTATCCTCTTTCTTTCTTTCTGTTTAGGCCAAAGGCTGAGTTGCACAGACTTCCCTTTTGAGAGCTGAAAGGAAAGCCCAGACAGGCTCAGCTTCTTGCCTGGGCATATTATTGGAATGGGTGGGTAATCAACAGTCAGCGTCCCCAGTTATATGGCAAAGTTTCTAGCAGCAACTTCAGATTTGCTGTTGAGATTCCAAATAGCTGGAATAGAAAATATTTTGTATGGAAGTTAATAGGGAGGAAAATATCTATTAGTGCTATCCAGTGCTTTGGATTCAGTCCAGTCAAAATAATGTGGAGCAGTCAGGTGTGAAAATGCGCCACCTTCTTGCAACACCTGGAAGCATCTTTTACTTTTTCCTGGTTTGGAATATAGCAGATAAGGAATACATTCACACTTCTGCCTGGTTGTGTAGTAATTTGGATTTATTCATTTGATGGATCCAAAACACTACATAGGGTTAGTTTCTGTCATGTCTAGAGCTACCTTGATCTGTGCTTGGGCTGAGTATGGAGCTGACGCAATGGGACCAGATAAGCTGCTGGTGCATTCAGATGCATTCTCCCCTGAAACTGTTGTGGATACTCTGGGGGCTGGAGACACATTCAACGCTGCTGTGATCCTGGCTCTAAGCAAAGGTGAGTTCTGGATGCTTCTCATTTTCCTGTAGGTATAGCATGAATGGCAGAATCCTTTGCAATTGCTTCTGTGTCTTGGACAACAGAACACTTTTAAATTGCACAACAAACCACTACCTAATAACATCAAGAAGCAGATCTGAATGACGAGGAAACTCCTCATCCTTCCATCTCCTGCACTTTAAAGAGCAGCAGTTATGCCCATCTGTCCTAAAACTAAACTGATTTCTCATTTTCTGTGGCAGGAAATACACTTCCTGCAGCATTAACCTATGGATGCCAGGTGGCAGGCCGGAAGTGTGGGGTTCACGGGTACGATGGGATCGTGTGAGCAACATGCTGAGAGCTGTTACCTGCGGGATTTCACTGGACCATGGACTAATGCTGTATTATTTCTCATGGTAGTGTTCTATTTGTTAGTGGCACTGGCACTGCTCCTTTGGCATCTCCTGCAGGTGGGAAGACATGTCAGGCTGCCTGCCACACATTCCATATGCAGTCTGGCTAAGCTGGCTCAGACGCTTCTGTCTCCTGCCAGCAGGAAAAGAGGTTTCGCTGTATAACCATGAAAAGATAAATAAAATACTTGAAGTTGCTGATTGCTCCTCGTTGATTATGCAAGGCATTCCAGTCTAAGGTTTGTGTGTATGTACGCACACACATACACAGGCAAGCCTCGAGGGAAAAGGATTAGCTGTGCCTCAGCCAGCCAGATCCAGAAGTGGCGGAAGTTATGAGGGGAGAGAGGACGTGGAATTAAGATGCTGCTGACGCACTTGTTGCTATTTGGTATACCAAGCTGGGAGCGATTTAAAAGATTTTAGTAAAGTAACAGAGAAAAGGAGAAAGGTAATCGATGCCACCCAACAACAGCCAGAACACTCCTCCCCACTACTGAGCCTACTTCTCTTCCTGCTGAAGACATTACAGTACAGAACACAGTATAAACAGCCAGCTGTCCAGTTGATTAATCTGATGTGACGGTCCTTGAATTTTTCCTCTTTGTCAGATACTATGATGATCAGCTCCACTACCTTGTAAGGGAAGTTCGTCCTTGCCTCTCTGAGCCACTAAGATTCCTGATAATTTATTCCTCTTCCTATATGGTACAGAGACATAATTCAGTTTGAAGACGATTTATTGGCAGATTAGAAAAAGCAGAAGTGTAGGAGAAGCATACGCATCTCTGGCTGTTTCCCTAGGTTTTGGACCAGGTTGTTAGGTGAGCTATGTTCTCTTTCGTGATTGGAGTTTACTGGTTTAACCTTAGAAAACATGGATTGTGGTTTTGTTTCAGAATCACTTTTATGAAATGGGCAGTCATTTGAATTATGTCATTTAAACACCATGGCAAAAGACATACCTGATGCCTTCTGCAGTGTTGGGTAGGCTTTTCCCCAAAGGACCCTGCTGAGTGAGCGATCAGAACGGACATCTGAAGTGCACAGATACAGCCTTGGCGAGACTGGGAAATTATAGTTGTAAGTTCTGTCCTGTCTCTGTGCAGTACCTCTTTACTTGAGGAAGGCAAAGCAAGAGATCCTAAGTAGGCCATCTAGAATCGGGAGCCTGCTCTGTGAAGAGAGAGACTATTCAGGAAGGCAACCTGCTAAGACAGGCTTTTCAGTTTAGAGAAATCTTTCCTACCTAGGTAGCATAACCTCCTGGAAAGGCTGTAGTACTGTGGGGGGGAGGGGGGTGTTTCCATGTCTGAATGATGCACTCAGGTGCACTGAGGAGAAAGTGGAGCCATTGTGTGAGGAGAAGTTTTTAGTGACTTCTGATTCTCAAGATCTGGGGTATATATCCCTTGAAAGCTGGAAAAGGGCTGTCTTTAGATAACAGGGTACAGTGGAGCTGACTGAACAGGGAATCAATCCTATTCTGTTTTGCTTTGGTAAACCCAGAAGGAAATGTTGGGAAAGAGGTGATTATCTGCATTCCATTTCTGAAATTGACCTAGAGGCCTTCAGTTCTCACTTCTTGGCTAATCACCTAAGGTTATATACAGGGTGTATTTCAATCTCCTGGAGCAGAGGGCATCTCTTCCCCTTGTTGATCTGGGTCTCCTGCGGTTTCCTGGTTGAGCTCTGCCCCATGCTTCTCCAGGCTCCACACTTGGTCACCCATCATGTCTTGTTCCTGAACTGCTGGTTCAGGTGGGGAGTCTCCATTACTTTGTTGTTCGGAGGGACTTGGGAAACCAATGGCTGCTTCATTTGGCTTAGGAAGTGCCCACAGGACTGGACCATCTTCTTCACTAACAGCCGTACGGAAGTTTGGTTTCTCTCCTTGCCGTGGAGGAAGAAATAACTCTGAAGGCTCCAGTAGTCCATCCCAGTTGAAGTCCTGAGTCTCCAAGATACTGTCCACCATTGGCACTACCTGAAAGGGAATCAAGAGAAGTCCATTAAGTCTTATTTCTTAATAATTTTTTTTACTTAACTGCTCTTCAGCTATTAGGGACCAATGGTTTGGCATGTTTCCCTATTCAGCTTTGTTTGAAAGGAAAAAGGTTAATCTATGTTCCTGAAAAGAAACTGGTTTGAGAAATCTGGCTAGTTCCTGTGTTAATTTGTTCTGGTAATTGATTTAACAAGCAACACAGGGAATCAAGAAAGCTTTCCAATTATCAATATAAACTGAAGATAAGGAACAATGTAACTGATATCTTCTATAGACAAAAGAAAGATAAAAAACTGAGCTGGATCAGGCCAAGTCTACTTTAGCTTCCTTTTCCTACCATGGCCAACAAGATATTTTTAGAATAGAAAGAGGTGTACATTATTTGCAGCTTATTATCTACTGAGAGAGAGCCAGTTTGGTATAGTGGTTAAAGAATCAGGCTGGAAAGTTGATTTCTGGGTGACCTTGGGCCAATGATTTTCACTCGGCCCTACTTAGGAAGGAAGCAATGGCAAACCACTTCTGAAAAACTAAGAAAACTACTGGGATTTGTCTAAGCAGTGTCAGAACGGACACAATTGAACAGAAAAAAAAAATTAACTGAATACAGGGATTCAGATAAGGCTCAACCAGACAAAGAGTGAGAACAACTAGAGACAACTCTTGTTACTTAAAGAGTTGGTAAAAATGTGGGGACTTCCGGTGAGCATCCATGGTAAACTAGTCATCCCAGTAGAAGTGAGATAGCATTGCAGCAGAGATCAGTTGCCAAGCAACAAATTCTGGCCAGTGAAGTCTCTGGATAAAGGTGAGATTGTAAGATTGCCTACTTGTAATCCAGACACCTGCTCCTTGTGAGTAGATTGTAGGGACTGACATTTTATGGTGGACTTGTGAGTTGAGGGATTTTAATCAAGGTGACAGGTGTAAAATAGCCTATATGGACACAAAGTCCATTAAGTCTTATTTCTTAATTTTTTTTTTTACTTAACTGCTCTTCAGCTATTAGGAACCAATGATTTGGCATGTTTTATACCACCAGGTGACTTTTTTTCAATCCTTCACAAAAGTTTTAAATACAAGCTTAAGATTTTTTTAAAAAATGGGGAATAAACAGCAAAAGGGTGATTAGAACATTGATTCTGGAAAGCTACAAATGGACAGCGTTCAGATAGATTTGATTTAAGATTTTAAAATTAATTATAATAAACCTTCCCATGAGAAAATGCTGTTATTTTGAATTCAGAAAAAACCCCGATAGGATGGCACTTTGAAGGTTGGACACTACAGAGGGACCCAGAAGGAACTAAAGATTATAATTAAAGGAAAAGAACATTTAAATTTAGAATAGAGCAATACTTTGGCACTAGACACTGAGGGACATTGGCGAATAATGGATCCAAAAGTGTCTATGATTATAGGCTGTCTTTTAAAGGTTTTATTTAAGAGGAAGAAATTTTACCAGACAAGACTGAGAGTGAATTGAAAGTGGTTTTGAAGATGAGAGGCTACAAAAATGACATGGAAAAAGATGCTACACTAGAAATGTAGATGACACAAATTGATACCTTAATAATTTAAAGGAATAAAAGATAACCAAAAGTATGACAAATAACGTTGCTATATTAGGTTTACAAGAGACCTATTAAAGTTTTGTGAGAAGTGACAAAGCAAAAATGATAAGAAATCAAGTATGACATTATTTAAAGGGATTAAATATCATGATAATTAAAAGTAAAATGAAGGAACATAAAGTTGATTTATTTGATCAAAGTAAAAAATAGGTAACCAAATCACTTCTTGAATGTTTGTGGACAAGGAATGAATGCTGTGGTTTTAAGGATTTGTTTATAGGTAAGAGATCAATATGGGAAGATAACATTTATTGTATCTTAAGAGAAGGTGATTACTATCTTACTGAAATTGTTTACTGATTATGATAAAGGACGAAATCATTTGTTTATACAGTATATACTTTTCTTTTTCTCTTCTATATTCTTATGGTTTTAATATTGTTTCTTTTTTACAATTTGTTTTTTTAGTTTGCATTAGTTTTTATCTTTAACTGTAAAGTTTAATAAAAACTGAAAAAAAAGAAAAAAGAATTGGCAAAGGTGCCAACCTTACTAGAGACTGAGGAATAAAATGTGCCTACCGTGTCAGGTGCAGGCTGTTCTTTTGCCTGTTGGAACACTAATTCACTCAGCAGTCTCATGAATTCCAGACCATCCAAGTGCCCACTTTTGTCATAGTCATGGAGAGCAAAGAGAAGCAAGAGCGCTGGAAAGAATCGGAATGGAGAAGGAATGCATAGTGAACCAAAAAATAGCAGAGGCCAACACTACTCCTAGTTCAAGCTACATGTGGGAACTATTCTCCATTGTATTGGGGTGCAGGATTTGGAACAATGCATTTCAGCTAAAGCACAGCAGATATTAATATTCACAGCAGACCAGACTAGAAAACTAGTGCTACTTTTATTAAAGGGTGATAGTACAGATAGTCCTTGACTTACAACTTTTTGTTTAGGGACCAAAGTTACAAAGACACTGAAAAAAGTGACTTAGAACCAGTTCTTGTACTTACAACTGTCACAGCATCCCCATGGACATGTGGTCAACATTTGAGCACTTAACAACTAGCATGTATTTATGATGGTTGCATATGATCCTGGGATCATATGATTGTCTTTTGTGACCTTCCCAGCCAGTTTCCAACAACAAAGTCATTTGGGAGAAGTGCATTCATTTATTGACTGCATGTTTCACTTAACAATTGCAGGGACTTGCTTAACTGTAGCAAAAAGGTTGTAAAATAGGGCACAACTCAACAACTGCCTTACTTAGGAATGGAAATACTGGTCCCAATTGTGGTCATAAATTAAGGACTACCAGTAACACAATCTTGCAAGCTGAAAGTGCTCTTCCAACTCTGCCATTATTTATGAGGGAACTAAAAAGGGTCAATTCTGAGATGTTTTCTCAGATTACATTTCTTTGGACTCAGATTCTTTTATCTGTCAGTTGTCTTGGTTGTGGCTCTTCCCCCTGGTCCTCAAGAATATTCTCCTAGCCCATTGCAGACTCCCAATGAACGTCAGCAAGAGCTTCTTAATACTGCAGTAAGAGCGTTTGACGGTGGATCCAATTCAATAGAGATGTGGGGATTCTTCTATGTCAAGGGTCTTCAAACTTGGCAAGTTTAAGACTTGTGGACTTCAACTCCCAGAATTCCTGAGCTAACATGACTGGAGGAGGAATTCTGGGAGTTAAAGTCCACAAGTATTAAAGCTGTCAAGTTTGAAAACCCCTGATCTAAACAAACAACTCTGGGAGGCTCACAACAAGAAAACCCAAAACCACAAAAACAATACAGGGGTTCTATGTTAAGAATGCTTTCATTTGGATTCCTGCATGGAGCAAGGGATTTTGATTCTAGGACAACAGAGACACTTCCAACTCGATGATTCTATGAATGCTGATGTTTTTTCCGAAACAATATTCCCACCAAACCTCACTTTTCTTGATCACTGGAAGGTGGAATGGCTAAGGAATCTACAGTTTCCTCTCTCACAGTGCAATCCCAGATTCTCTTGAGTAATTTGAAGACCATTCTTATTTTGAGAAGTTTAGCAACATGTTTTGATTGCTCCTTCGTATTAAGAAAAATCCAGAGGTTTAGAGCTCATTCTGAGCCAAGCTGGTTGCTTTTCACTCTTGCTTGCTGAATCAAAGAGTGAATCTTCAATAGCTGCAAACCTGTGAAAATCTCAGAATTTCAGTTCCCCTCCCAGTCATGTACCACCCAGCCAGGGTCAGGTCTCAGTTTCATGATCATAGCAGGGCCATGAAATCATGATGCCAGGTACTAATAAAAACCTTGGAGTTACTGTTTGTCATGCCACTGGTGGAGACTGACTCTGAGGAAGAGGAGGAACAGCTAACAGGGAGTGGGAGTGTGGCTCCAGTGGTGGTGGAGGAGGCTGGGGAAGGGCAGAGGCCAGCTAAGCAATCAGAGGAGGATCCAGGCCCATCCCCTATCAATCCTAGGTCACACAGGGAGGAGAGGATCAGGGAAAAATGAGGTCTACTCAAGAGGAGATTACCATGATCCTCCTCGTGGCTTGAAGCTGGGAGCTATGTATATAAGTTTGTAAATACGCAGTCAGAATTGCTGGAGTCAAAGTTTAGTGTTTACTTTGAAAGAGGTTTAGCTTTGCTGGCGTTCTTCCCATGGACTCTCCTCAGTTATTTTCCTGGAGTTTATGATTAGTTATCTTGGCTTGCTTCGGAACTCTCATCAATGCAGTTTGTTTTGGTTTTCTTTTTGACTCATTATTTACTTTTGTACTTTAAACTGTGTCTAATAAAACAGTGAAGTTAAGTTGAAGTCCTTACCGGACTTTAATGTATGTTTTGGGTTTGGGGTTATTTTGAGAGACTACGGGTCATCACACTGTTATTCGTTGGGAGCTTCTGTGAGAATCTAGCGTTGGGTACCATGGAAACTGGCAGCCCTCATTATATCTCTGCTGTTGTTATTAAGGAACTCCTGAGAGTTTTTTTAAAGTATCAAATGTATTTGCTGCCCATCTAGTTCAATTTGTAAGAGATCTGGGTTTCATTTTCCTTGGTATGTATGCATTTAATATTATGCCTTTAAATCTGTTTGCTTGAGCTAATGAAGCTTAAAATCCCTTTATTTACTAGTGTCCTTATTGTCTCTGGATCCTAAAAACCAATTGCCTGGTACCCAATCACAGCTGTGACACTTGCTGGTCTAGGCTTTCCTGTTAATATCTGCTAGGGCTTAAAAAAAATAAAAATTAAGTTCATTACAGATTTAGGTTCTTAATACTACGGCTATGAGATTTAAAAGCATTTTCTGAAACTAAGCAAAGTTGGCCTTGCTGGTTTATGAGTGGGAATTTATGCCTGGAAATATTCCATGCCTGTCTGTCTACTGCTTAATTGGCATAACAGGAGCAAGGCAGGCTGTAAACATCACAAGCATCAATTTCCAAATTTAGCATTAACAGAATGAATCCACCCTGAAAGGCAGCATTTATATTCATATCAGCACCAACAACAGAAACAAACCTATAATCCATTACGAGAACATTTCATTTTGTCCATGTCCAGTAACATCTCTGATTGCTAGAGAGGAAACTATGTACTTCTGCATTGGGTTTGCTGAATTCCAGTGATCCAAAGCACTCTCTGCCACAGGAAATCTGTGCCTAGCATAATTTGCTTCATGTCTAATTGCTTCATGTCTAACATTTATTATCCATTGATACATTTCAAAAAAATAGGTGAGGGTGACTCTTTTAAAGTATTTATTTTGGGAATAGGAAAGAGCTCTAATACCCCCGAACTGTTTCCAGTACTCTGCAAATCTTGTAAAGGAGACCCAAAAAACAAAACTGGTTTGTTTTTCTTCTGTCCTGAGGAGAACAGAGGAAAGAAAAACCATCCAGCATAACCTCAACCCTCTAACTGTATGGGGCAAGCTGGGGATTTGTCAGGCTCCAGTTTTGCTACATAATAATAGACTTTGCATGAGTGGATTCAGACTGTTCACAAGATTAAAAAGTGAAAGCAAAATAGCCAGTATCAGAGATGGCCACGTTGAATCAGATAACATTTCAAACTATTGCATAAGAAACCACCACCTTTTAATTGTCTGTCAGGGCCCAGGCTTGTTGTGATCAAAAAGATAATTTTTAGAGGGAAATAGTGATTGATTATCCTTTGCAGGGGTTAACTTCAAAGAAGGTGGAAAAATAATTACTGACTCAAAAGCTCTGCCTTCGAGCAGAATAATTTGAAGGAGACAAATTGATAATAGAAACTGCACCTTCTCTGCAGCCAAGCCATCTAATTTCAAAAGATTTTTTTTTCTCTTTGGTGAAAGATATCCTGGCAGCTTATATAATTTGTTTTGCTTTCTTTATTTGCTCTGAAAATGTTTCTCTCAATCTATAAAATTAGCCGTTGTGGACTCAAAACTTATATTGTTTTTGTTATGTGTTATTGTTTTCTCAGATAATCTTCTGTATTTGTCCAACTTCAAAAGGGAACTTTTGCATTGCTAGCATTGGAATCCCTATTTTTAAATGTGGGCTTAAAGCTATTGTTTCCTAGAGTGAGAAGCTATCAGTTGCCCTCTCAACATGCATTACGTAGTAAAATCCTTACTTACCCTGTTCCCTTGTCATGGTAGCAGCATCCTCATTCAACTGCCCAATGTTCTCCAGATAGTCTTGGAGCATCCTAGGAAAGACCAAGTCAGCATCTATTATGTTGCCATGATGGAACAAACCACAGCACAGAAACATTGACTGACTTGCAGGACAAGATAACAACCATTGCAACAGAGAATACTTATAGCTCTCAGAATCGGTGTGTGGAAAGATGGGCAGTCAAAGTCATTAGGGCTTCCAATCCTTTTTCTTGGATACCTGCCCAGACTCAATGGTGCAGAGAAGACACTCTTCAAACATTCAGATAAGTTTTTAATCCCTGAGTTCAGCCAACATACTAAATTTTAAACCTGAAGGAACAAAATGCAGTTGCTGTGTTCATACCCCATGCTATGCTCAAATAAATAAATGATGTGTTCCTACCTAACACCTAAGATAATAGTTGGGGCCCTACAACTTTCTAAACTATAAGTTCCCAAGGCCAAGGCAAACCAGATCTAAAAAGTCCCCAAATTCAGCTGAAATACAAATTACTTGAATGTGGAGATGGAACCTTTCCCTGTTATTTTAGAGATCAAATGGAAAGGGGATGTCCTGGGATGGAAAGAAAAAGGGACAGAAAGACAGTCAGCCAACCTTCTTCCAAATTTTGGCCCTCTTGGATCTCAGCCTGTCATATGTAGCAAAAGTGCTGAATTTTGGGAAAGGCACACCTGTTGGATGGCAAGTACTTACTTTAGAGAAACTTGGCTTGGGTGGAGAGGATTCAGGATGGGTTGATCCATAGAATCGTGGGGGATCTCAGGTCTAGAAGACATTAAAAAGAGTGGGGCAAGTACAAAGACATTTAGTCACCTCTGCTGAATGGAAAATGGATTGCAGACCCATTTTCAGATCTGAAGGCTCCTTTAGGGGACAGTTTCCTGTCCATCTCTGTGTTCAGAGAAACCCGCATCCCTTACAACTAGGTGGTACCTGGCACTGCTGTTCTTTGGTGCCGCCCATCTGGTCGGCACAATGAAGAACCAAACTGCTAGAAATAGCCCGTTCATTCTGGTCCTGGTAGGCAGGGGCAAGACACTTCACGTTCTGCAGGACACTGGAGGTAGAACTATCTCTCCGGAATGGAGACCGCTACCTGCAATGACAGAGATGTCTATGGCACTCCGTGAACACTGAGGTTCCTGTTGCATATTGTGGGCTAGCAAAAACAAAGTTTCCAGCCACAGAAGACAGACTACAGTCTTCGGGCCAGAGACAATATCATGACCCGTCCATCTGGAAGAAAAGTCGGTCTGGTCCGATTTTCCACCCAAGTGTAGCTACCTGCCTTTAAAAACAGTCAGCCCAACCCGTAATTCACATCCTTAGCACCTTTTACTAACCTGAATCAAGCAGGAAAGCAACATTTCATTCTTCCTTCCCACACATTATTCTACATTCCAGGTGACCTCACCCCTTTCGTGCTGCTCCCACACATTACCTGTCAGAAGATGGGGTGCAGCGGTAGCACAGATTCTAGCACGCCCTTTACCACATTCAGCTGCAGCTCGGGGAAAATACATTTCTCAGGGTGTTCTCTCCCCTCATTCATTGCAGATAGAAAAGTAACCCACTACCAGAGAGACAGATTGCAGCAGAGCCCGTCAGTTACTCCATTAATTTCTCAACATTTTGCTTTAAAGTAGATAAGAATGGTTAAAAAGCATGTCTGACCTGCAGGTGGACGTGGCACAGCCTTCCCTATCTTTTCCCACTGCTAGTGCTCCAGCTGCAGGGAACGCAGCCAGCGAGGGGCGGGCGTGGGGTGGTGGGGAGACCTAATGCCCAACAGCTCCTGCCTCCACCCTGCACTTATGGACTTCGGGCCGGAGAGTCCGGTGCTGCCATCCTCCCTCCCCCCTGCCCGTTGCACATCCATTCTGCTGGGCAAGCCCTCACCCTCTGCGGGGCAGGGCGTGGCACAGCAGCAAGGAGCAACGCCGTTGAGCATGGATCTCCTCTTCCAGTTACCAAATTCTCCAAGCAGCGCGGATCCGCGGTGTGGGGTTTGGGCGAGGTGGGGGGGGGGGACGGACAGACGTAGAGAGAGGCCTTTCTTCTCCTGGCGCAGTCGCTTCGCAGCGCCGGTTGGTGCCCATCGGCCGCAGTCTCGGGGCCACGTGGCGGAAAGGCGGGTGCTGGCTGACACGTTCATTCCCGCCTCTCTCCCCCTTCCGAGTTCTAGACGTCCTCTAGGCTAGGGCAGGCTTGCTTCGTCGTTCCCCGCGCTCTTTGCAAGCCGGTCACTGGGGAGGATCTACGAAGCGCTGGTTCCTAAAGGGCCTTCAGAAAGATCTCGTCGCGATTCCTGGATGGGGGAAGGAGAAAAACTGCGGGGAGCGTCTTCTTTCCAGTTCCACAGATCTCCTGAGATCATCACTCCGGGGTATGCCTGCCCAACAGAAGGAACACTGATAAAATATCCTTTTTGCAGTTCCTCTCCCACGGAAGACTCCATCGTCTGCTTTTGAACGCAAGGAGCCACGGGTGGGTGGATGACATTAAAGGAAGTTTCATTTTTTGAGTAATAGTGCTTTTAAGGGCTGGAGGGCTGGCTCATATTCAGCATCCCTACACATACCATATCCTATGCCATATCCACATAACTTTACGAAATTTTTAAATGAACGTAATGAATAAAGAGAGAGATTGAACTACACACTATACAGTATATCTTCCATTTGAGAAGAGCAATCACCTTTGGGGTGAAATATGGACACTAGCCTCACTATCAATACAAAAGCTACGAGTGGCACAAAGAGCCTTGGAAAGATACATGCTCGGCATTACAAGACAAGATAGGAAGACCTGCACATGGATTAGAGAAGAAATAAAAGTATATAGTATTATCAAGAGAGTAAAATAATTGAAATGGAAATGGGCTGGTCACATAGCAAGAAGAACTGAAGGCAGGTGGATGAAGGCAGTCATAGATTGGATCCCACTTGATAAAAAGCATCCATGAAAGAGACCTAAAACAAGATGGCTTGACAACATCAGCAAGTTTTGAGGGCCTAACTGGCAAAATAAAGCTCAGAATTGTATTAGTTGGCAGAAGAGATATTCATCCTGCAGTGGATAGACAGTGGCTAAAATGATGATGATGATATATACACACACTATATTAGAAACACCAATCAAGCAGAACACAGCAAACTCCAAAACCAATAAACACAGACCAAGACTCCCAACCAATTAGGATGAAGAAAAAACCATCCTGGCACAGCAGTAGGCTAGCCCCAAATTTAAAACTGAAACGGCTGTGCAAGTCTGATTCACAGGCGAACACAATACAGAAGCCTGATGATGGCAGATGAGATTCTGCCGAAACGTTGCTACAACTTTAAAAGCACAACTATAATGACATGGGAAACGAATCTCATCTG